AGGCGGGAGGATCACCTGAGGTCACGGGATCGAGACCAGCCTGGCCAACATGGTGAAACCCCATCTCTACTAAAAATACAAAGATTAGCTGGATGTGGTGACACATCCTGTAATCCAAGCTACTTGTGAGGCTGAGGCAGGAGAATCACTTGAACCTGGGAGGCGGAGGTTGTAGTGAGCCAAGATCACGCTACTGCACTGTAGCCTGGGTGACAGAGAGAGGCTCTGTCTCAAAAAACAAAAACAAAAAGAGAGAGAGAAGAGAGAAATTCAAGGCTCCTGGAATGAACTCATTTCAAGTGCACCCCATACTACTTAGGGTTTTGGCTACAAAAAACTGAAACCAATTATTGCTGTTTAAATAGAAAGGGGATTTACTGAAAGTACATCGGGCAACTCAAAGAGTTGTCAGGAAGACGGGAGAACCGTCAGAAAATGTCCAGGAACCAAAGTAGGGTAGGCAGCGGAGGAAAGAATTCCAGCACTGGCAGTACCATCGGGACTGGGGCTCTGGATGACGCAGACACCAGGACAGAGCCTAAACAGTTCCTGCTGGTTTGTTCCACTTGCTCCAGATGTAGACTCTGATAATGCTTGAATTTATGTCACAAGCCCACATCATATCGGACAAGAAGCAAAGACAATATCTTTAAACCATCTTGTGATGAAATTCCCCCACTGAAGTCTATAGAATGTCAGATTTCCCCAAACATAACGAAGGAGTTCAGTTGCTGAGTAGACAATAGTGAGATCTCCTCCACAGGCAGCAACCCAACCCCGCCCCTCTTATTACTAACAATCTTTTTGGATACCCAGTGTTAATTTTTTTTTTTTTTTGAGACAGAGTCTTACTATGTGGACCAGGCTATAGTGCGGTGGTGCAGTCTCGGCTCACAGCAGCCTCGAGCTCCTGGGCTCAATCAAGTGAACCTCTCACCTCAGCCTCCTGAGTTGCTGGGATGCCCGACAAATTGGCTATTTTTTTTTTTTTTTTTTTTGAGATGGAGTTTTGCTCTTGTTGCCCAGGCCGGAGTGCAATGGAGAGATCTCCGCTCACCGCAACCTCTGCCACCCCCAGGTTCAAGCGATTCTCCTGCCTCAGCCTCCCAAGTAGCTGCGAGGTGGAAGTATTGCTTGAGCCTGAGAGGTTGAGGCTGCAATGAGCTGTGATCACACCACTGCAGTTCAGCCTGGGTGACAGTAAGACCCTGTCTCAAAAAAAAAAAAATTATGTAAACAACTATGGTGAATCTGCATGCAACACACAAACTAGGAAAGGTGTGAGCAATATGCTATGGGGTCAGAAGAGAGACATCGCTCCCAGCTCAGGTAGCAAAGGCAGAGGCGAGAGTGTAGGATTCCTCTGTGGATTTCTGAGTGGTTGAGTCTGACTAGAGGGTAGGCCAGTGGGTTTTAAATTTTAGTGTACATTGTTAGATGTGCCAATGCCTAGTCCCTACTTCCCATTCTGTAGGTCTGGGGTTGGGTTAGCAAGCATTCCAGATAGTGTTGAGGAAACTCGTTCTCCTACCACACTTTGGGGAAGTTTGGGCAGAGAACCTCACAGAGACTCAGCTAGAAGATCAAATCAAATCATGGAGGGCTTACTTAAACGTCAGCATTGGAATCTATTCTGCTAGCAAATTGAAAGTGTTCTTAGCAGGTAAATGGTAAGATCAGAGCTGCATTTTGATTCTATTGGCAAAAAATTTTAAGCAACACAAAGACCAGTGAGACGGTTTGATAATAAATTAAGGCCAGGTGTGGTGGCTCACACCTGTAATCCCAGCACTTTGGGAGGCCACAGCAGGGGCGGGTGGATCATCTGACATCAAGAGTTCGAGAACAGCTTGACCAAAATGGAGGAACCCCATCTCTACTAAACAGTACAAAATTAGGCCGGGTGCTTTTGCTCTCGCCTGTAATCTCAGCACTTTGGGAGACCAAGGCAGGCGGATCATGAGATCAGGAGATCAAGACCAGCCTGGTCAACATGGTGAAACCCCATCTCTACTAAAAATACAAAAATTATCTGGGTGTGGTAGCGTGTGCCTGTAATCCCAGATACTCGGAAGACTAAGGCAGGAGAACCAGGGAGTTGGGAGTTGCAGTGAGCTGAGATCAGATGATGCCACTGCACTCCAGCTGGTGACAGAGAGAGACTCTGTCTCAAAATAAATAAATAGGCCGGGCGCGGTGGCTCAAGCCTGTAATCCCAGCACTTTGGGAGGCCGAGGCGGGTGGATCACGAGGTCAAGAGATCAAGACCATCCTGGTCAACAAGGTGAAACCCCGTCTCTACTAAAAGTACCAAAAATTAGCTGGGCATGGTGGCGCGTGCCTGTAATCCCAGCTACTCAGGAGGCTGAGGCAGGAGAATTGCCTGAACCCAGGAGGCGGAGGTTGCGGTGAGCCGAGATCGCGCCATTGCACTCCAGCCTGGGTAACAAGAGCGAAACTCCGTCTCAAAAAAATAAATAAATAAATAAATAAATAAATAAGCAAGCCAGGCATGGTGGCACATGCCTGTAATTCCAGCTACTCAGGAGTCTGAGGCAGGAGAATCGCTTGAACCCAGGAGGCAGAGGTTGTGGTGAGCCGAGATCATTCCATTGCACTCCAGCCTGGGCAACAAGAGCAAAACTCCATCTTAAACGCGCACACACACACAATAAATTAAATGAGAGAGAGTATCGACTGGGATGGAGGGAGTCAGAATGAAAAGGAGGCCAGGTATAGTGGCTTATACTTATAGTCCTAGCACTTTGAGAAGCCAAGGCAGGAGGATCTCTTAAGGCCAGAAGTTTGAGACGAGGCTGGGCAACCTAGTGAGACACCATCTCTATGAAGACCGGATATTTAAAATAAGAGAAGCAAATCCAGTTTGACATAGAGAGCTGGAAAAGTGATCATACTTGAGGAATGGCTGGCATAAGGGCCTTTGAGAAGTTTGACTGTGGAAAATAAGAAAACAGTAGATTGCATGACGGAGAAAGACCATTTTATTTTTAGGATAAGAAGAGCCCAAATGTGATCTCTGAGAAAGACCTTATTTTTTATTGTCGTAATAAGAAAATTGAGGCTGAGGAAGAAAGTAATTTTTCCAAGGCTATACAGAGTGACTTTTTCTTTTTTTTTTTTTTGAGATGGAGTCTCACTTTGTTGCCACGCTGGAATGCAGTGGCTCAATCTCAGCTCACCGCAATCTCCACCTCCTGGATTCAAGCGATTCTCCTGCCTCAGCCTCCTGAGTAGCTGGGACTATAGGCACGCACCACCACACCCAGCTATTGTATTTTTAGTAGAGACGAGGTTTTATCACGTTGGTCAGGATAACCTCAATATCCTGACCTTGTGATCCACCTGCCTCGGCCTCCCAAAGTGCTGGGATTACAGGCATGAGTGACTTTTTAAAAATGTAAATCAGATGGTTCTTTGCATGAACTGGAAAAGAAAAATTTTGACTTTTAATTGGTGATTTGGCTTTTATTTGCCAAATTTGTTAAATTTGGCTTATATTTGCAATTCTACAATCGGGCAACATCTCATTATATAAAATGGAATGCATGTTCAAATGAGCTGAGCAGAGATTATTGGTTTTTCAGACAGAAAAGGGCTGAGGAGAGCAGAAACAAAACAAAAACAGATTAGTTGTTTCAAAGTTACTTTCCTTGTAAATTGAAGGCTAAAGCACAGGGGACTTTCTTATCCTGCCAGCTAAAACGGAATAGTTTGGAGATTGGCTAGCTCTCACTCTGCTGAGTTCTCAGAATATCAGATAAACAACTTAGTTGCCACTTGGTGATGTGGAACTTTAGCATGAGTGACTCCATTTTGGTTTGATCTGTTGGGTTTGGTGCAGGAGCCCTGTCCAAACCAATGGTCTCCAATTTTTTTTTTTTTT